TTACCAAATCAGTGTTATTACTATGATTCATCCACACTGTCAAAGAACTCGCCAGAATCGCTTCTAATCGAAACCAGTTGTTATCAGATTTCTAAATGAAACAACTAATTTGGTACATTTGTGTCAATATAATCATTTAACTTCACGCTGTTAAAATGTTAAAGTTGTTTCTAATACACCTTTTCTCTAGGGCGCATCAAACCTAACCTAACAATATTCATGATTCTGGGGGGTCTACTTTAAGTCACTACTTGAGATAACCGATAGGTCTATTAGTGGACTACCCAACTATTCAGTCGTCAACTAATTCGTGCAGATGACTTTTTGCGCTTGGGCTGTCACATGACTTTGTTTGCTAAGCCAAAGGATTTGGAGGACAGATAGGTTTGCTTACACTTCTATCGTGCAATGTCAGGGGTCGTCATTCTTCGACAAATTATTGATGTTGTTGTTGTCCATAATGTATCTGGATAATACCAACGAATGTGAGCTTGAATGAAAAATTAAAAATGGTAATGAAGAATCCATATTTTTTGTATTATTAGTTGTTTGAGTGTGAATATATACAATCATTTTGTAGCCTATAACGATAAATTCTGGTGAGCGGTGATTTGGGTTTTAGTAGAACCGAGGACGCTGTAGACAAAGTTGCATGAATATATTTGCACACCTAACCACCACATTTTAATTATTATATATTTGTATAAATACCTATTGGTGACAGGTTAATAAAATATGCAAGAAATTATACGTATTTATCTTGTGTGAAGTGACAAAAGTTGACATTGGCAGTTTACATGCAACAAAGCAAGGATGTCACTCCAAACATGTGTCGAACTGGTTCCCCAATGATATCTCGATTTGACGTGCTTTACCTTGTATCGCATTTTCTATTCAATATGATGATTGTGACGTGCCAAAACGCCGTGTATGTTCACTTATTATCGACTCATGCTTGATAACATTTCTAATCATTCTACAGTTGTCGTCTGCCAACATTAGGCGCCTAGGTATTTTTTAAAACCCCTAAGCTATCACTGACCTATTGGTGACAGGTTAATAAAATATGCAAGAAATTATACGTATTTATCTTGTGTGAAGTGACAAAAGTTGACATTGGAAGTTTACATGCAACAAAGCCAGTATGTCACTCCAAACATGTGTCGAACTGGTTCCCCAATGATATCTCGATTTAACGTGCTTTATGAATGGTCCCCTGTCAGATCAGCTCCTTTTCTCTTCATAAATTGGGATATCATTTGCGGACAACCAGGGCACCCTGTATCACATTTTCTATTCAATA